ATCATTTGTTTATGTGATAGAATATTTATTTACTATATAAATTATTTTATATTGATAAAAATAATTTGATTTAATGCTTAATTACGACTTATTTATATTTATGTTTATATTATAAGTGGATTAAGATCGAAAAATGTTGTACTTAAGTTGATTAATGAAATAATTTAATTTTTATGAAATTATTTTTTATATATAAAATTATATTATTTAATTAAAATTCTAAATGCATAATAAAATATGCATGTTGATTTTGTTTGCGTAATTACAATTCAGTATATAATACAAACTACAACATTATTTTTTTATTTTTTAAAAATTATATAAACTAAATTATCTAATTTAATTAGATTTGAAGAAATATATTTTTAAAGGAAAGTCAAATTTGAAGGAATCATCTGAAATTAATAATAGTGACATATAACATTTTACAAAATAAGTTCATGTTTAAATAGATTTAGATGATTTTCATTGCATTCGAAATTATGAAAAAAGATTTTAGATTACATCCCAATGAAAGAGATAATGTCTGAAAAGTTTATTTTTACAATAAAAAACTCATAAAAAATAATTATAATGTGATATTTTTTGTATAAACAAAATAATTTTTTATACATTTGAGTTAATTTATATTTATATATTTAATATTATTATAAAGATGAACCGTATCAACATAATTTTTAAATCATTTTTTAGCACTGTATTATCATGTAAAAAAAAAATTTTTTCCTTATCGATTTATAATTTTATTCAATTCTATATCCTTACAGATTATAATTTAATTAAAATATAATAATTATAAAATTATTACATTTTTTTAAATAAATTAAAAGTAAATATTATGTTAAATAAATATTAATGTTATTCTAATTATTAAAATAACATAATTATATTATTTGATATAAATCAATATTCTCAATTATTTTATGAATAAAAATTAATTTTAAAATTTATTTTTTTACATAAAATATATTAAATCTTTTGTTTCATTTAATTTTGTAATTTTCCTTTAGATAGAAAAAGTTTATATTTATTTATGATTTTTAATGATAAAAATTACTTAATCATTAAATATCTAAAATTTTCTTAATTTGAATTAAAATCATGAAACTTTAATATTATAAAAATTTTTAAAATTTATTATTAAATATATTAAAATTAAAACTTTTTTTTTATTTTATAAAAATTTATATATAAAAAATATATTGAGACGAAAAAAATATATAATACATAGATATTTTTGTATTTAACCCATATAAACATATGGACCGAATATCTGAAATATATATATATATATATACGTGTGTGTGTGGACTGAATACGCAAAACATTTTGACGTGAGAAAGTGGCAGCAGCAGAACTTTTCAATAGTTTTCATGATCTGTTAGACTGTTTTTTTTTTTTTTTTTTTAATCTGGGATCTGTTAGACTGTTACCAATAATTTTACTACGAAGTTCTAAGAATTGTACCAAATATTAGCCTAGAGATTCCGTATATAAAACCATGAATTAAGGTTATTTCTACACGTATGATAAGTGGCAAAAAATCTGATAAAATAACTGACTTTGACCCTGAAGCTGGTAATCTCTTCTTTATATGCATAGCAACAGCATTTTTTTTTTGTTCACTTTGTACTTCGACAAGGAGTTAAAACACTTTTGATCTGAACATGACCGACATCACAGCACATGCATAAGGTACTGTAGGCCTACCTCATTGGTGAGTGTGCTTGGATTGGTGTTCACGCCGGAAACTCAACATTAGATCACTACAAGAAAAACTTATTTTACCAACCTTATTGTAAAATGATAATTTATCATTATAAAAACTTTTTTTTAATGAAATTTTTTTAATAAGATCATTATCTATATCTGTGTTTTTAAAAGTATACGTAATGAATTTCATTATTATAAAAGTCGTTTTAAAAAATATTTATTTTAATAATTTTTATAATTAATAAATAAATTATGTTTAAATAACAACTTAATATGATTATCAAAATTTTCTTTTAACATTCACATATTTGTTATCTAAATTTTTACATAATAATATTATTTTGATTACTTAATTTCTTTTGCGATGTAATATCTTTTGGCTATAAATCCTTTTTAACAACAATTATTTGTTATTGTAATAATTATTTTAATAATTACAATCGTTGTAAAAAGTTTTTACAAATCATAATTTCATCGTTTCTAATTGCTTTTAATAACCATTATTATTATTGCAAATAATTGTTTCACAAAAATAATAAATTATTAAAGAATTGATAATTCAAATATTTATTATTAATAGAAATCAAAATTCAATAAAATTTCATGGCTAAAAAAAGAAAGAATTCATTTAAAAGGAAATTAACATAAACATATTAAAGTATATATTACTGTTATTTACAATACATTTATGCTAAAATATATTACAAAAATTTAAGTTCCAAAAACAGTAAAATAAAAGAATTCTTAACTTAATCTGACTCTGCTGCAGGGAAACAAAATGAACATAAAACTCGAACTAAGGTTGATGAGATCTTCTGGATAATAGAAAGGTTACTTGTAAAAAAGAATAACCTGGAAGCCAAAAACAAGAGTTTTAATAAGATAGCATTTTATGTCCATAAGCACCGTAAATTGTATGACAATATAAATATGACATTTCTTATAATGGAACATCGCTATTGAGTATTGACTGTTTCAAACCGAGTTGTAAAATATTAAAAGTTACAGGGAGACAGATAAAAGCTCATTAGTTAAATGAATAATCTAATACGACAAATTAAGGAAACAAACATGATAAAAAAGAATATAAGGACAAAGCAATTACAGAGTTAAATACGAATGACCAATGAAAATTGCATCAAATAGGAATGGGATAAGAAGATAAGCAATGTATAATTCCTGCAACTTGCAGAATAAATAGGAATGAGATCATAATTACAGGCCAATGAAAATTGCATCAAATTGAATCCTATTACATTATTAACACATTAAAAAGGTGAAAGCAAAAAAATAAAACTTCAAGATTATCAAATTAAGACGACGATGACAGCAGCACAGATCCCAACCATATATTTATTTATTTATTTATTTGTTTACGAGCAATTACATCTACTTGAACACTTGCACACTTTGTATATTGTTCTTCGCCAATCTCCATTACATTGAAGAAGTTAAGCATTACCAATTTATTATGTAAAATAATGCTAAAGAGGGTCGTTAATAAGGAAGAAATTGTATCATGGCTTGCGTAACTGCGTGGGAACATTGAGTGAATAATGGAATCTTGGCCTTATCAATCAGCAAAGCTATATTTCATAAGCAGTAGAATATGTATGATGGCGTCGGTGTCTGACATAATTAATTAGAGCAGTTTGTTTGGAGGTTGATATGATAATTTTGAATACAATATAATACGACTTAAAAATATATAAAAATTATATGATTTAAAATTTTAATAAAAATTATAAATTTAATAAAAATAAAAAATATATTTTTACTTGGCATATGAATATAATTTATAATATAACAATTTTTATATTTTATTTATATTTAATACAAAATAAATTAACCATTAATATACAAACCGTTAAATCTATTTGAAGGCAAGTTCCTTTCCTTTTTCTATTTGACACAAGGTTGAAGGCCGGAAGAATTTAAGTTTGAGCATGAAACAAACCACTTAGCTTAGTATAAGTCTAGCTATTTGATTGGGATCGTAAAGTTATAATTATTGTAATGTCAATTAATTAATTATACTTTAATATTATGAGAGATTCATAAAAAAAAAAAAATACAAAATTTTCATTTTTAAATGATAAATTTTTATATAATTTTTTTATTATAATTGACTAATTATAATATTATAATAAAAAAATTGTCATTAACCTTCCCATATGCAAATTGCTGCATTTTCTTTTGATGATGTCTTTTTCCTTGGGAAGTAAAGGAAGGTGAGAGATCATTTATATAATTAGAAAGATGATTTATAATATCAAAAGTAGGTAGTGGATTTATTAAAATATTATAAGAAATAAAGGAATTAGGAAACTTTTGTAGCATGCATGGCTTATGCGTGAAATAATTACGAAAAAAAATGACACTTTTTTTTTTATCAAAATCAGAAAAAATTCGAATGCCTAAAAAAAAACAAAAATAATTAACTCTCTAACTTCATTTTGTGTAATTAAATAATATATAAAATAATTTTTTAAAGTTAAAAGAAAATTTCGAACCACCTTAAGTCCGATTAGAGCATCTCGGTTGCCGAACAAAACTCATAGCCCCAAAAAATACTTATCTTTACTCTAAGTTAAAATAACAACAAAAAACTCTGTAATTTATATAAGTTTTTATATTTTTATTAAATTTAAATAAATTGTTAATCTTTAATTTTTATTAAATAAAATTTGAATTTGAAGTTAAAAAATTTTTAAACTTTAATTTGTACATAAATTAATTTTCATTTTTCAAAAAATATTTTTGCAATTTTTAATCACATTATCATTTAACATATGCTTTAATATGAAGAAAAAAAATGTAACTAACGTTTGACTATAAGTCTATCTTGTCTTACATTCTATCACATTATAATACAATTAATTAATTATAATTTTAAATTAGATAAAATTTATCAAAATTTTATATGTAACATATAAATTTTTATATAAATTTTTATTTTGATTGAACAGTTATAATATTATAATAAAAAAATTATACGTGATATATTTCTGTATATCTTTGAGTTGGACGAAAGCTTTATTTAAATATAAATTTAAAATTAAGATCTTATTTAAATACATTAAAAATATTTTAAATAAAAAAATTATTTCAACCGTTATGTCACTCTTTAACTCAACGCTTTCCCTTGTCCTTGCTTCGTCTTCGACTTCTGTTCCTTCCAATTACCAAAGAGAGAAAAACATTCTTTTTCTATATTTTCCTTCCTATATATAAAACTTGGCATTCAAATTTGGTGCTCTTTTTAGCAAGGAAAAAAAAAAAAAACCATGGAACTGGACTCCTTTGAGAACTCCAATTGGCTGCTTGACTACGACATATCTGAGTTCCCACCTCCAGCTGCCGGCTTCAGCTGGCCCTCTCAATCTACCCTCAATGCTCCCCCTAATGTCAGGTTTGAACATTTCCGTTTGGTTGCCGAGAAAGTCAATGAAAAATATAAAGTACTGAAAAGGTTAGGGAATTAGTTATGGCGGCAAGTTTCTTGAAATTTTTTTTTTTGAGGTGTAATCTTGGTGGAAACTGTTTTGCTTATTAATTCCTTAGTTCAAGATTGATAAATTTCTTTTTTATTTCTAGCTTTAAATTGTAAATATTTATCAATTTGAGGCAATAATTTCTTTCTTTTAGACTTTGTTGTCAAAGAGTTCTATTTTTTCTTTTAATTGGTTGATAACTTGTCGAATACTAGTATGTTGATTCAGGGAAAAAATTTTAAACTGAGAATGAGTCGTAATCAAATTCATTTTATTGTAATACATCTCTTGATATGCCACTGTTATTTATTTTTCAGTGCTGCAGTTGGTTGCTCATTTGCCGATTCAGATAGCTTGAAGGAAGTTGTCTCCAGGAAAAGGTGATAATCCAGTATCATCATCTTGGTGTATAAAAGGGAGGCAAAAACATGTTTACTAATTATTCTTCTCTGCAGGTTGAAATCCGAATCATGTGGTGCATCTCGATCAAAAGCATGCCGGGAGAAATTGCGGAGGGATAAGCTGAATGATAGGCATGACATGATTCTTTTCTTTATTTTTTTAATGTTCTCCAGTGTTCTCGGTCTCTTGTTTCTCACTTCAGAGTTGGTTAAAATTTTCAAGGTTCCTGGAACTGGGTGCCATCTTGGAGCCTGGAAGGTTACGCAAAACAGATAAGGTTGCTATTTTAAGTGATACTGTAAGAATAGTGCATCAGTTACAAAGTGAAGCGCAGAAGTTGAAAGAATCAAATGAGGAGTTGCAAGCAAAAATTAAAGAATTGAAGGTAAAGCTTGTTTCTCAAAAACAGCAATTCAGAGTGAACTTTTTAACTTTCCATTTTGGAATATAAACTTCAATTCACCAAATGCTTCTTCTTATGCATTTACCAAGAACAAGATAATCATTGTTGTGTATTTTCTAAGAAAGACTGCTTCTTTTTAAGCATTTTGCCTTTGCCTAAATGATTAAGATGGTTGTATGGCATTTTGGTTGTGTATGCCTGGTGGCTTGTTAACCCATGCAGGCTGAGAAGAATGAGCTTCGTGATGAGAAGCAGAGGCTGAAGGCAGACAAGGAGAAGTTGGAGCAGCAAGTCAAAGCCATAAGCACACGGTCAGGCTTCTTGCCACACCCCCCTCCAATGCCATCTGCATTTGCAGCTCAAGGGCAAGCTGCTGGAAACAAGTTGATGCCTTTCATTGGATTACCTGGTGTTGCCATGTGGCAATTCATGCCACCTGCTGCAGTTGACACATCACGGGATCATGTACTTCGCCCTCCAGTTGCTTAATTTGAAGGATGTTGATGGTTTGGTTCTTACTGCCAGTCTCTTTATGTTTGCTTGTTTACTTATCATTCTTATGGTCTTTGGACTATTGTTGTAATGTTATGTGTGAAGATCGGATAGTTGAGTAGCTGGACATTCTGTCAAGAAACTAGCAATTTCCATGGGTTTCTGCTATTCCAAATGTAGAATACAATAATTTATAAATTTTAACTAGTCAAATGAGTCTTTAACAGTGGTTTATTCATTGTCCTCCTATGAGTTCCAGTTTCATGTGTTTTGGAAAGTTTTCCCCACAACAATTTATAAATCCATTTTGTCATTATTTCTTGTCATATTGACTCATAAATTGGTTTAACTGCTTCTAACTGTGCCCAATAACAATGTTATTTGCAAAATTATGTAGTATATTGTTAAGAATCCATTTCACAAATAAGCCAGACAAATGAGTATTACAAATAGAGAACAGAGAAGTTTCACAAATATAAAATTACTTGAAGATTCTTGCAAAGAAAATAATCTTTAGAGGCTTATAGGTCCAAAAGCACTATCAGCAAAAGTCCAAACCACAATGTGAAGCATGTCTGAAAACTATTCCTGTTAGCTGATGAGGGAGATGGTGGTGGTGAATGACCACTGGGAGAAGGAGAGGTTCCAGGAGATCCAGTTGAAGGACGAGCAGGGGATGATGGACTGCCAGGAGCTGATTCTGGGGATTTTGCTGGTGAGGGAGAAGATTTTGGAGCTGGAGAAGCAGAGGGAGTTGGCGATGTTGCTGGTGGTGTAGACGTTGCCAAGGTGTCTATTTCAATCTGCATTCCTTGGCTACAATGTCCTAGTGTTCCACAGATGAAGTATCGCTTTCCTGGAGAAGAGAGAGGTATGACTGTGTTGCCATCATTATAAGTCTGAATTGGGCTACTTGTCTGGCAGGAGTCATAGTCTGCCTTTGTAACTTCAAGCACATCATGATTCGGAGTGTACTGGAAAACTGCAGATGATAGGTATGTCGATTTAAAACTCATTATTGATGCAGACTGTTCAAATAACAAAGGAATAAAGCAACATTTTTCTGAGCAATTATGCTTGCTAGTATTGATATGATGAAGAAGAGAAGCATATATAGCATTTGATATTTGCATGACTTACTCAGATTATCTCCTACTGCAAAATTTTGAGATGCAACCCAAGTTTGTAGGTCAGTGCTTGTATCCCAGCCTCCATTTGGACCTCCAACTGTGTAATTTGCTGCCATTGCTAACTGGATGAGCATGGCTGTGACAGCCAAACCTACTATTGTTCTCAACACTGCCATTTTCCTGGCTATGGAAAGTAGTGATTGGATTAAAATCGTAGTATCCAATAGATCCAATGTGACCTTGGAGGTAAGTTCAATTGGTTTTGGCTTTTATCAGGAATTCTTTATATAAAGCAAGATGAAGACCAAGAAAATGCATTTTCAGAAGGAAGAGAACATTAGTTTATTATTTACCTGTTGTAGTTGGTTTAATTAAGATGAAGACTGGCAAATGCCAGCTTGTTTTTTCAAGGCTATGTACCAGATTCGTTTCCTTTTTTTTTTTTTTAATGAATAGTATTTCCTTCCCTTCTTCCCATTTAACCATTTTCTTTTGGATTGTCGTGTGGAATAATGACATTGTGCCGTCAACTACTCGTTGTTGATTCCTTTGTGCAAGCTCAAACGACCAATCAGCACTGCCTGTCTGACCAAATCATTTGACTTCGACAGATAGGAACTTGAAAGCAATAAAAATAATGTCTGAGATAAAGCTAAACCTTGCTTGATAACATGATTTGCATTCTAATGCTCAGCGCCCCACCCAAAAAGTCAAAGGTCTAATGAGAGAGAGAGAGAGAGAGAGAGAGATTCGTGGCTTCCACGTGAAAGAAGGATAGGAGTAGACTCTATATCTGGAGGCGCACCTATTCCCCATGAACCCAACCCAACACTGCCTGAAACACATGGATAAATTAAGAAATGCTTTCGAACTGCCCTGCAAAATGGTTTGTTGAATTCAATAGAAATATCGAGAATTCTAGTTGTTGCACTTGTACCTGCCTCACGCATCGTGGAGGGACTGTGTTTTTTGAGGGGAATAGAAGATGAAAACGGTGAGAAGACATTCAATTGTTCAAGCTGGAAATTTGAACACTGTGGATGCAATCCTAGTAATCTTTCCTCATTATGTAGCCAGTAAATTTGCAAATTTGCTCTTTTGAGACAGATTTCAGAAAAGTTGATGCCAGAATCGCCTTGATGCAATATTTGTAAATGAAAAAAAAAAAAAAAAAAAAAAAGAAGGCATGAGATTTGAGAATTACTTATTATTTATTTTCTAATAGTTCCTCCGAACAATAATGACAAAGAAAAGAGTGACTGATTCTAGTTATTACTTAGTATTCTAGCTAGAAGAGAATAGCCATCACAAAATAAAAGCTATTATTAATGTTGGCTTATACCCCAGTAAGTTTCTAGAATGTTCGTATTGCTAGCAGGATTAAAACCCATAGTTATAACATAGAACGCAGCTCTTACATCAGCCAAAATCAGTGGAACACCTCTACAGAAGAGCTTCTTCTACTAGTGTGCAGTCGAGAATTTCTTTCCCTCCATATACGGTACATAGCAGCAGTCCTGGTAAATCTTTAGCAAGATGGCTCTAAATGATTTCCCTTTGAAATTTGCAATAACCCAATTTAGATCATCATGCCAGCTGATTTACGTACGATTAATAATTGAGAAAACACAATAAATAAAATAAATAACAGATGATCCCTGCTTCACTCCTCCTCTGCCTGACATAAAAGAAGTCAGCATTTGTATACTTCAACACGCAGTTATTGTACCAAATGATGCTTTGCCATCATCAACGAGACGCAAGTTTTACTGTCACTGTCTGGGACATCACCCTGGCACACACATGGTTAGGACTATAGGCCATTGAACACGGTTTTGGCTTTTCCGGGATAAACCGGTTCCAAGCCTGGATGGAGGAACTTTGGTCGATAGTTCATCGAGTAAGCTGTTGGGTTTGGACCATTAAGGAAGAAACACGAGCTTTTTGGTGGACCCAAATCTTGACAAAAGGATACACAAATCGAGTACCAAGGGAGAAAAATAGTAGATTGAGACTGGGAAGGGATTTTGAGCGAGAAGGGTGAAAACAACAGACTATGATTTTGTGAATAATTTTCATTTTTCATATTGCCAAAAAAGAAATTCGTTGAATGGCGGATGGGCACTGAGCAAAGAAATTAAAAGCATTGAAGACTGAATTATATTTCATTTTTCTAAATAGGGAAGGGGGTATCCGTGTGGCTTCCCAGTGCCATCTAATCATTTATTTATCTTCATTTACCGACACTCGCACGAATGTACCATGATTCAATTTCTCTTTTGGCCCAATGGCATCCGAAACTGCAGTAAGGGAAAAAATAAATAAATAAATAAAATTAGCCTTCATAGAAACCCAAAAGCCCATATTTCATTATTTGGGCTGGTGGTTGAGAATTTTTTTATAAGTAATTAAATAAAACGGAAACAAAGAAAGAAACCTCCCGAGATTTTCAAGAGAATTAAGATTCATTTGAATGAAAACATTTTAAAATATTAATATTTTTAATTATATTTTTCTGTAAATATTTTTAAAAAATTTAAATATTGACATTTGATGAGATAAAAAAATTATAATAAAAATTAATGATATTAGAGATAAAGTAAGAAAAAATATTGAGAAAAATATGCCATTTAGAATTGTAATAATTTATATAGATATTAATAATAATATAAAAATAAAAATAAATTTCAAAATGAGTTTTTAATTAAAATTAAAAAATAGAAGTTGCAAAAAAAAAGTGATTCTTATTAAAAAATAAAGAACTTCTCAAACTTTACAAGAATTTTGATAATTATAATTTTTATCTTAAAATTTTAAAAAAATTTATAAATCATTTTTTTTCTACCTTGCTAAAATTGTTAGCTATATTTTGAGAATTTGCTTTCTCTCGAAGGAAAAAAAATGTAAACCATTCATTACAATCATTATTAATATGTTAAAAAAAATTTTTTTTTGATAGATAAAAATTTGTAAAATCTGATGTCCAATATAAACGTTATATTTTTTAAATGATCACTTTAACCCATTTGTCTTTTATGTAAGAGTTTGTTTTTAATGCATTAATCGTGTAATTTTTTAATTTTATAAATAAGATTAAAGAATATATCGCATGTCTATTATTTATTAGTCTTAATAATAAATTTTAAAAAATATTATTGTCAATTAATAAGATAATTTCATGAAAATCCTCTTAAGTATTAGTGCATTTTGCTTTTTAAACACATTTAAGATGTATGTGACATTATTTAATCATTCCTAATAATATTGGTATGCAAAAAAAAAAATATAAATGCAAAGAACAAAGGAAAAAATTGTGACCATAACTTGATGATAAATAATGATTCTTTTCCTGCATTTGATTTTAATTGGAAAGCATAAGATTTACGGGAAACACAAAGAATAAGTTCCCACTATCCGACCAGATGAGTACATGACATGCATGCACCATCATTTGTTTAACCCTGGATAGGGCCGGCTGGTCGGCTGGGCTGTGGGATTACCCTCGACTGCTCCCTATCACGTATTTGGTACGACAGTTAAAAGTAGTGATGATTAAGTCTCCGATTCTGATTTGTCTTTTCAAGTTGTGTTGAGAAAATGGTGTCGTTTTACAAGTTGTAGATCTGTCCAATGAATGGTTTTGGATAGAGAGAACAAAAGCGTAGAATAAGTTTTTTTTTTTTCCATTAATTGGTTTTTTAATTCTCAGAGTTCTGCAAGTCTACAAACTCAAAAAAGGGGCGGAATACAAGAGGAAGAAGCTTTAAAGTTTGAGCCATACAAGTGGACTAGTGTATGAACGCTAAACCAACATGTGGACAAAGACCATCCCTTCCTTCCACTCTCTATCCACATCATGATACTCTCCAAGCAAAAAAAAAACAAACATATGCCCACAATTGGCAGAAATAAACAAAAAACAGAAAAACAATCCTGCATCACCAAAGGACCTGCATATGAGAATCAACGGACGCTGCCTCAAATGATTAAAAACAAATGTATTATTTAATTTAAATTTATTGAAAATTGTGAAAATATAATTTATCATGAATTCACGCGTAAATATTTTCCATGTTAAAATTTAAAAAAAAAAAAAAAACACCCTTGAAGACGAGTGCCCTTCTTGCTGGTGGGTACCACCCCCACAAGAGAGCTTTAATTCTTGTCCATACAACAAAACTAGTTCCTTTGGTAAACTCAAATTGTCATGGTAACCACTCAACGACAAAATCATGGCTCATAACATCCCTTCAGGGCATCTCATAAAGCTTGGGGCTTAATCATGTTTATCTTTTCCTGTTTTTTCAAAATTATTGCAGTCCTGGTGATTACCCCTTGCTACAATTAATTGAGCCCCATCATAAGATTCCGTGCTGATTTTTTTTGCAAGCCGGGGGCGGGGGGTGGAGTAGCATTGTTAAAAGCTTTTTCTCAACCACAAGTTTAAAATTTTGCTTGCTTTAATATCACATAACTTTCGAGGAAAAGGGCAAAAGATTAAGGAAGAAACAACAGAGACAATTTTGTCATGTAGTGTCATTCATGTCATGGTGCAAAATTCCATCTACATAAAATGCAAGTGTACAAATATTGGTCATAATTTTCTCAAGCTCGCCAGCCTTTTATATGGCCGTTTTCTCCCAAACTTCTTAGCCTTTCCATTCTAACTCTCGATCGTCCAAAAATGTGCAAAGGTTTACAAGGAGAAAACACATCAAGTTCTTGTCTGAAAGAGGGTGTCTCACCTAATGTAACCAGGGCTCGGGGCTCGGTGAATTGTGAGCTGTGCAACTCCAGGGCTTCCCTATATTGCCAAGCTGATGATGCGTATCTCTGTAGGAAATGCGACAAATGGGTTCATGAAGCTAATTTCTTAGCTCTCAGGCACATCAGGTGCTTCCTTTGCAATACATGTCAAAATCGAACTCAGAGATATCTCATCGGAGCTTCACATGAGGTGCTGTTACCAACAATGGTGAGTTGGTCAGACAGAAGGCAGTATAACTCTGACACAGAAACAAAACGTTCAACAACGCTTAAAACACCTTTTCTTTTTCTTTGAGTGTCATTCTTTTTTTCTCTTATGCAACGTTTGCGGTTATGGGGATCTTGTCTGGTTAGAGTCTGAGGTATCATTGTGGAAGAAAGAGATCCCTGGATGTTTACGTACTTGTAACTGTGAGCAAAATATTGCCAAAGTCACAAGACAACTTGAATTCGGAGGAATGAGAACAAAGAGAAAGAGAATTGAAATATAGAAAACTGTTAGAATCATTATCTTGATGTAATCTTTCAGTATTCTATAAAGCAGATTGACTTTATCATTCATGCATTTTTGTTCTTTGTTCTGCACAATATCTTATTGAGCTTTCTTTTTCTTTTGAAATTTAAAGCACCGGCATAACTTGTCGATGAACCTTGATAGATTCTTTTAGTTCCTTACTGTTTGATCAAGCTTCAGGTTCTGGAAACAGAACGGATCATCAATAAAACAATTAATTCATTCTTTTTCACTATTAGGAATCTAATTTCTGGGAATTTTACCAATATGAATTACTCTCCCAGCCAGATCTAATGAAGTATTTTCTCCCCAGCATGGGTTTTTATTTCAGCGGAGGTTTTTGAGTTTCATCGGTGCAGGTTTATTTTCGTCGGGCTAATGAATTATGAAAAATTAAAGACCTTTTATCAGATTCAAATCCAACAAAGAGAGAGGTACACTTTCTTTGCCACTTGGACGAACCATATGTTGGTTTCCCAGCAGGGGCACTGTAATGATCTCTTTTCTTCCTCAAATCTGCTTCAAAAAGAGGAGAAACTACAAATTTTACTGCAACATTTGTATGATTGCTGATGCTTATGGCAAGAAAGATTCATATCACCTATCAATGCTACGAGGTCTAAAATTACCCGAGTCATTAGTCACTTAGAGAAAGCCAAAAAACGATCTATCTATTTTATGCCCTCACTTGTTTCCATGATGTATTATAATTGTTGTGCTTGCCTCAAATAAGTCAGATACTTCTTGGAACAGCCAACCCCAGCTGATGTGTTATTGCCATCCAATTCTAAAGCTAAATACTACAGAACCATTCAATTTACAAATGTGGTCCAAATCATGATCCTGAGTATAAGCAACAATCTCAAACTAAGCACTCGCAATCCATTCAATTTATGGAGGGAGGGGCGCGTCAGCGCAAAGGTTAATGTCCCATGTGCTTCACAATTTCATCAGATGATGTCCGATTGGTGGTCCTTGGAGTAACTCAGAGTTTCTGAGAAGTTCATATCATGAGCCATGCTTTGGTTGTGCTTTCGCCTTTGTCTTTATGGTGTTGAAGGCCGTCGTATCTTAACATCATACGAAAATATCAATTATTGATGTTATTGATAAGAACCATGATTATCACAAATTTTCTTACAAACAGACTCAGGATATAGAAGATAACCGCCAGTTCATTTTAACTTTTCTATCTTCAGCTATCGAATTTCTGATCATAGTTTCTTAAACAGACCATGTCCTTCTCGCCATCACACGTAGACTATTTAAGCCGGCCAACTTGTATTTCCTGTTTATCAATCTTTGTCATCACTTCTCTCGTGTATTTTAGATAAGCCATCCAGAACAAATGATGAGAAAGATTCAAACCAAGGCAGTCGCAATTTAAGAACAGAAAAACGAGTTATAAGCGTTAGAATTTAAATTTTAACTTGCTTGATGCCGCCTTTTAAGGATTATTGTGTGAAGTAACTAAACAAAACTCCGCTTTCAACATTTCACTCTCTTCTGAAACTACCACATTCTCTTCCTATTTCAGGTAAGAACTTCTGCTTTCTTTTTATATCAATCCTGTTAGCCAAAGCCAGCCAGTAAACCAGCTTGTATAACATCCTGTGATATAAAGTACAAATTTTAGGGAGGTTTCAAAAAAATAATGGTACATTTTTGCCAGCATGTGGTCGCATTTTTTTTATATTTTTTGCACAACTTCACTGTGTTTTATATCATCATTGGACCATAATTTGCTTCCTTCATATACATGGTACGTTACCTGTTCCTTCTTTTCTTACCTTCTTGTGCTTTAAGGAGAGGAACAACTTTAATGACTCAGCTACTTCAAGCAATCTCCATATTTCATTCTTGATAGTTCATTTACTGCAGCTAAAAGAATCATACACAATATGAATATACAGTACTGAAAATATGAAAGAAATTGAAAGGATAAATGGTGATTTATTATTCTGACAGAGTGCTAATCCTTATTTCAGTTTGATGACTATGGATCAATGCTTATTCCATGGACCTGAGCTGGTGCACTATACAAAATAATATAACCAAAGTTGACTTGCAACAATGGTCTTGCCTTGTGCATCGGAGATGGAGATGGTGACAAAAACAAGAGGAAAGTCCAAGTAATCAGGAAAGGCAAAAGAAAATGCACCAAAGATTGTCACTTCAAGGTTCTTCACAGCCGGTTGAACATCTTGTTGTGTGTATCCTTTATAATTTCCTGCACAAAAACAATAGAATAACAAACTCAGTGGTGAAGTGAATATAACTTCTTTCTTTTGTTTTTCCATGCATAAATGTAGCATAGAAAAGAATCAAGCCAATTTCATTAGGATGGAATGTAAGGAATGGTTTTACAGGAATAATTTTATTGTTAAGAGCCTTGTTACCGGCCAATCATAAGCAACTACAACACAAGTACAATTGAGGCAGTTCATAGATCTACAGAGATGAGATCAGTTAGCTCAAGTGTCCATAACTCAAATAACTTGAGGTAGCCAGCACAATATATCTGCCATTATACATATGAAACAGGCTTATTTAATGAATCCAAATAATCGTCATAACAAATGCGAGCAAAAACACATGCACTCACACAGGAAGAGCAAGAGAGAGTTGAGAGAACTTATAGCAGCGTTAAGTTGGAATCTATGGTTTACTGCCCCTCTCTGTAATCAAGAAAGACTAACTAAACCTGCAAAAATAAGTACAATTGAAAAAACCTAAGTTGAGCATGTGTGAAAGGAAATGACGCACTAAAATAATGTAATTCTAAAGATATAAAAATTTAAAAGCTGCATAAGTTTATGCATTTTTATCTGCTATTGTTATCAACATTTGCAATATGGCATTGAGCAAGGAGAAATGATGATTTTGTACAACTATTGAGTCCTAAGTGATGAAATTAAAGGGTTAACATTTGAACTTTCAAAGTGCATGCAATAGGATGCCAATGCTGTGATTAACCTCTGTTGCCATATTAGTGCAAATTGACATTAGAAACTTTCACAAAAGCAAAAACTTTTTACATGATCTCTAGCAGAAACTTGTTTCGTACAAAGCTATCAGTCCAATCTGAATTTTCTGTTAACCTTCCTTATATGTTAAACCAAATAATCTCAATATTTGGTTTTCATCTGTTATTTCTATTTTCTTCACTCTAACATTACTGGTTTCCTAATTCCTTCAATCTAGTGTTCCAAATAAGCTCTTTAGTTCAACAATTTGATTCAATTCACACCTTTTAGTTCTTTGCTGCTAAATAGGCTAATGTTTCAATGTTAATTTTCCCAAACTTAAACAAATTAATGAAGGACAAGACTTCAAATGAAGCTGAATTTCAAAGTACCATTTAGTACAGCTGAGCCAAGAAATTAATATCTTGACTTCACTAAGTTGGGTATACATGCCATATCTAATTCTAAATGATAAGATGAAACTACAATATCTGCATCTTTAAATCTTCAATGCTTATCATGTCATTACAAGCAACATTATTTACAAACATTTTCAGGTGGACTGTTTAATATCTCTTATCAAATCTCTTACCTTCAGGATCAGGGACATGATTTTTAATCTGGCTTAGAAGTTCTGTGGAACCAGGGGATCATAATCATATGCTTCACCTGCTTTCACAAATCTGCCTTTCACACGTTTCCTAGTGTCAGCCCTGGCTTTACGGGAGGCATATCTTATTTGCTTACCAAATCTGTAAATAACAAAAATGAAAACCAGTTACAACTTTAATTTAAGCAAAGCTTTTCATATGATCACCCAGACCATGTGAATGGGCTATTTAAAAGTCTTGACTTAATATTAAAAAAAATGCAAAACAGCCTCCTCCATCTAAAATTGGGAACTGAAGCAATAATCATTATAAAAAGATGTATTATGTTTTTGTATTCACACTAATGGCTTCAATAGTGTCGGTTAACTTACAGTAATTAGCCATTATTTTATTCCAGGAAAAGTAAAACAGTATATCATACTTACAAATTACAATGGATGATTTCATATGTTAAAAAGGCAATCTATAAGAATAATAAAAGACAATAATATGAATGACATCCCAAAAGAAGTTCATCTATAAAGTATCAGTTATTAAAACAGAATGCTTTATGATTTTGGGAATACAGGAGAAACGGAGATCATCTTAAATGAGCAAACTTCATTGCTAAATGCCCTCAAAACATTTTTAACCCAAAAATCAATTACCTCATAATCATATTAAACTTAAAACAGAATGTAACCTTCACTTTCAAGGTAATAGGGATGAGAAACATACGTCCGTGTTTTCTTTTTTTCATTGTATCTCATCTTTGCTTTGTCCCTTGCTTGTGGGCAGCTACCTTCCAAATTTGATTCCCATGGGGATTCACCAGTTAAAAAAACTGGTGACAATCCACATTCTTGATAATCGGTAGCACTATTTTCCCCTGTAATGTTGGATAGTGAAAGAGCTATGGTTGAACGAATTTGACCAACAGGATATCCTAGGTTAATGTTTCTGCTACAACCAGGATTCATAAGCATGCAATTGGGAGTGCCAGTCATGGCAGCCATCATACTAGTTGAGCCACCAACTTGAGAGGATGGAAATGCCATGCAGTCCTTTTGTCCTGATGATGATGCCTGATAAGAGAAACAAAAGTGGCTTGTCAACCATGAACTGGAGAAAAAAACTCTTATCCACTTCAATAAGGAAAGGTGGATAAAAACAAGAGCATAATTAAGCATGCAGTTTCAGGTTTGTTATTACCATACAATATCAGCAACAGTAAGTATGCCTGATAAATAATAAGCACATGACAAGTTACAATGTCTTATCAACACAGTAACATTGAATATCATACCAATCTTGTTTCTGATGAAAGTCAACGATTAGACATGATAGGTTAAAGCATCTAATAATGGATAATGGAGCAATGTCCTATTCCCAACAGTAATTAACTTAATCATGTACCAAACTTTTGTAAGCCCTTTATTAAATTCTTATTCCCTTTTCTTAGCATATGCCTGTTAGTGTATGGTTTTGTAGAACAGATGATAGTATTAGAAAGTATGGTTTGCACATAAAAATCATAAAAGTTGAAACTAGAGCAGTGAAATGAGTCAGTTATTTCAAACAAAGGCTGCAAATGGAGGTGACTGAGTACATAGATTGTTGGTGTTTTATTGAAGCACAAGGCTTCATGTTCCAGATCTTACCGAGGGATCTTAAAAGCAACAATATTTTAAATGTACTTTACATCATACAGATTATTGAATGGAAACATTAACTATATAGTATATGGATATTTGGTCTATTATCCCCTTGCACAACACAGTGAAGTAGGATTTACAACTCAAAGCATCAGCTGATAAATTTGTTATGAACAACTCAGATGCACATGCAATATTCACAATACTACAAATTAGATTAGAAAAATGGGAAGGAAAGCAATAGAATATATAATCATAGGTGTCTTTAGAAGATATATTTAGCAACCGAATTTAGAGAAAACCTCAAATGTGTTCTCAATAGGACCATCAGATTCAGTTACTGATAAGGTTTTCTCCATTGGAATGCAGTCTGTCCCTACATTCTCAAACTGGTATCTAGTTTGACCTTGGGAACAGCCAAATATCTCATCAGCAGTTTCAAACGTTAATTGAACATCATTCATGTTGAGGCCTAGACAGAGATCATCACCATCAGGAACTTTGAAATCTTTGAGGTCAGAATAACCCTGCAATAAAGGAGCAAAAAAATGAACCACGTAGTGTCTGAGATATAAAAGCTCCAAAATCAAACATTGGAGAAGAATAGATTCAAAGCGCTCAAATTACCATGCCATGTAACCATGACTAAATAAAATAATCCATTATACCAGTAGAATCAAGCTATTACTTAAATCCAATCATTTCCATCACCAATTCAAATAAATTCAGCAGCAAAAAGCATTACCTTTGGCATATTCGACTCCTCCGAGAAAAGAGGTTCTTGATCTCTACAGTAAGGTATGTAATTTGCATTTGTTGATATCAGAGAAGATGGTTCCATCCACGGATTTCGCTTAGGACAAGGGTCTAGTTCGTTCAACTTGGTACCATCCAATCCCAATGAGCCCCCTTGTTCTCTTTCATTCAAACAGTTAGCAAAACAATTGTCATTATCAGGCAAAGCACCAAACGGCAAACCATCATGAAAACCACCAGGAGAAGAAGCATCAAGAACCGAAGACCAGATTCTTCTAAACTCAGCCAAAGAAGGACAACCAGTATAACAATTCAATACCTCACGCCTATGTCCCAAACATGAGCAACCATTGCCATTCCAATCACAATTTTGACAAAGAGATAATTTCTCATCCAAGCATCGAACTATTGCAGACTGAGAATTGCATTTCTCACACAAAAGTGAACGAGCATGTCTACGTGACAACAAATTTGCAGAGTGAACACATCCATCACAGCTCAAGCAAAGCCGAGCTGAATCTGATTTGCAGTAAACTACCGCTCTTACCCCTCGACAAAAATCGCATAGCGGTTCCATACTACCATTCTCAAACCTTATCATCTCTACCAAAATACTCCTCCTAACTTATAAATATTCTACCTAACTGGAAGCTCATGAGAGGGAATTCGGCTTTATTGAATTCTCAGTCCTAGCAAAAACTAGCCTCCATCATTAAAGTTGGCAAAAACCCATCAAAATTCTATCAAAAATATGTAAAAAGAACTGCTGAATTGAATGATCAAAAGCATAGAACTGATAAACAGCGGGATTAATCTTTACCTCTTCAAAAAAAAGCACCGAATTCCCACCTCTGAATCAAAATTGTTTGGATCCGCCAATATCAAGAAATACATAACCCATTAACGGAAGCAAACAAATATTAAGATTGATCAAGAAAAAGCAAATATTTTGAACAAAACAAAAAAGAGAAACAAAAGAAAAGAAAACCAGGGAAGAAAACAAAAAAGGTTAAAGTGAAGAGCACTAAGTTTGCTCGGTTACTGTAGGAAAATTTTTAGAAATTTCCAGTTTATTTTTTCAGGTTTGTCCGAGGTTTGCTGGGTGCGTGCCACTGGGCACAATGCGAGCTTTGAGAAACGGATACGATGTGAGCATTGGCACAATGTCAGCCCTTTTAGTCGGGCGATGGCGAAGATGGTAAATAAGGGAAAGATTGAGGGTGGTTTGATGAGAAGATTGGTCACAAACTGATTGCCACGTCAGAACCGAGATATCTCCGGGTTTTTCATTGACTTTCAAGACGAGCATGTAAATCTATCTCGGGATCACAGATGGTAACGTGGCGTTTGTGTCAGAACAGATTCTGATTTATGCTTCGAGATAGGCACCGATGTGGTCTGCTAGTTGTGGGGATTTATGTTTTAATATTTTAAACTATATTATTTTCATACAAAAACTAAATGTTTAATTTAAAATTTCAAGCCTATTCGTATTATTTTATTGAAACAAGAATCAACATTGCGAACTTCTGACAATTTGAAACTCTTTTGAAGAAAAACAGACGCTGTTGAATTGAAAAAAGATGACAGGTGTGAATTGCGTGGCATTTGTCTAATTTTAAATATACATTAATATTTTTTTTGCTTTTTCCTAATTTTATCAAAACGCAAACTAAGATTTTTTTTTACTTTAGTAAGCAGATTTTTTTTTTTTTCTTTCGGTTTTCATCATAAAATTTCAGAAAAAAAATCTGAAACAAAAATCCCTAACACAATGTTTCTTCAAGTAGGAATTCATCTAACATTTCTTTTTAAGATTAATAAAAATTTTGTGTTATTGTAAATTTTTAGTCCTCTGATTTTTTTAATAATTTCTCTTATTTTATTTATCAAAATTTTAAATTTTGAGAATTTTTACAGTAAATCTTATCACGTATAAGCTAATTGTCAAATCATGCTTTTCTTATAGACAAAATCGAAAAAAAAACTTAAAAAGCCTCCATTTTTTTTCTTCTATTTTAAAATCAATAACAATCATTTTACTTAAAGTTAAATTTGCATAAACATCATAACTTTTTCTGGACAGAAGCTCCAATTACAATAAGATCAAGAAAATTGGAACTGGTGTTGACCCATTTGCTGAGTCAACTCGGGGAGAACTGAATGGAGATAATTTCATTGGGTGGATTAGATTGAGGAGAATAAAACTGAGATGGGTTCTCGATCCTGCATGAAATTAAAGATGACTCGCATGAATTGTGGTAGAGTGAGTAAAGGAAGGAAATTGAGTTTAAGAGAGTCGAATTTGCCGAATCAAGAGAGAAAATAAGACAGCCTTCAAGAGATTTCCAAAGGGGTTGTGGAAGACTGGGAATAGATGGCTTTGCATGGCTCCCTTTGTCTCTCCAGAAGTAGAGTTTTTAAAAGGTAAAGATGTCAGTCAGAGAATGTTTTATGCAAGAGAAAGTTCTAATCTTTTAAAATTAAGTTTGGATTTTTATTTAATCAAGTACAAAGACATTTAACTACATGGATAGCCAAATCAGAAAAAAAAAAAAAAAAAACCCCACATTTATCTTACTTGGATAGCCAAATCAATAATAAAGAAAAATGCCATGTGTGTGAAAATTTAATCTTTTTAAAGCTATATTATGGTGAGTGTGTTTTACAAGACTTTTTTTTTTAATTTTATATTATTATAAATTGATAACAATTAATTTTTGTTCATATAAAATAAAATATTTAATTTTAAGTTAAGCAATCACTCAAATATTTACTTTCAAATTGAGCATTTAATTTCTAAATTTTTAAATTTCACTGTTTTATGTATTCTTTTCCACCCTTTATTAAGGGGTAAAGTTTTTCTATTCAATGATTTTTTATTTTCATAATATTTATATTTATTTACATATCTAAATAAATACTAACTAGAAAATAATAAATGTTTCTAGAGAGCAACCAAACTACTAGAATTTTAGACTTTAATTTCGAGATTTCCAATATAGGCAGATTAAGATTATGTGATTAGAGAGGACATCTTTCATTGTGTAGCCAGCCGGATACTATATGTCCCAAAAAACAATATAATCACGTTTATGAAATACAATTAAATTTTTAAAATTAAAAATTTGAAAGTAATTGTTCATAGATTGTATAATTTATATAAGTTTTTGGTAAATAGGAAATCTCACTTTGTGAATAGGGAAAAAGATAGTTGATGTTAGAATTCAAATTATAATCTTACTAAATGTCATATTTTAAAAGTTGATGTATGAACTAATTGAGATAAACTATGAGTTCATATAATTTACATCATAAATGTACTTGCAAGTGTAAATTGATATATTTTTTAATATTTTTATTTTGTTGCATAACTTAATGTTTATTAATATCATGGCATAAAAAATATATTAATGATCATATTTTCAAATACTTTCAATGATAGCAATTTAATTATGAAATAAAATCATACTTTGAAACATAATATTAAAAATAAAATTATTTTGTTAAAAAAAATTTTATTCAGTTGTTGATAACAAATATCATAATTTACATCTCACTTTTTTAGATTTATTTAAATGATTATGTATATACATATTATAGCTGTAGCATACAGTGGCATAGCCAGCAAAAAATTTAATTGGAATCATATATATACTAACTCTAGTTATATAAATATGATACTTTTATTCATTATATTATTTGAGAAACCTTTATATTAAATCTAAAAGTTATATATATTTATATTATCTTATCATTTTGATAAAATATTAAGAGATATTATCTCATACATATGATATAGTCATCCTTGATTTGTATTACAGATTGTTTGATTACATATTATTTTTGTAAACAAAAAAATAACTGTGTTTTAATTTAATAATAAATAATATTTTAAATGAATATAACATAATTTGTAATAACAAAATGCAAAGTTTTATATAAAAAAATAAAAACATACATATATGTGTATATAGCTCGAATGTATGTCACACATTACTTTTAAATCAAATATGCTTGTTACATATGATCATATTCATACTAATAAAAATATAGATTTTTTAAAATTTTTTTATGTTTTACTTATTTTCATTGTAAAATAAATGAAATTTGTACTCGTTTGACTCTCCCTCCTTAGGGCTTTAGAATTTTTTTAGTGGAGTTAATTTAATAAACTACAAAAAATATATATTTTTATTTTTTATATACAAACATAAAATTTCTAGAGTTGAGTGGATCAATTGACCCACTCAACTCCATGTATTTACAACACTCTAAATCATTCATAGCATTTCCTTATTTTTATCTTTATTCACATTTATCAGATTATTATTTATATATAGTTATTTAATTTATTTATAATTTTTCATTGAAATTACTATTTAATTTTGCACAATCATTTTTTTTATGGAGTAATAAACCGAAAATGATCAAAACTTTTTTTACCTAAGTTACCAATCATATATATATATATATATATATATATATATTACAACATACATGAATACCTGATAAAATATGTTACGTGTAAGTCTATGTGGATAATTTTTATGAATGACACGTAAGATAATATTAATTAAATATTATTTAAAATAATCAAATATCTAAAACTTTTAAATTAAATCATATAAAATATTCAAAATATTCAAATATTATTTTGAATTTAAATATATTTTTATCAGATATATCTAAATCCAATTATATAATACTTAAAATAATAAAAAATCAAAAACCTTTTTATATATATGCCTCTCTTTAAATTTATTTTATGACAAATATTGATTTAAATTTAAATTTTATTTTAATTAAGATATATCTAAATCTATTTTTTAAAATTAAAATTTTCAATATATATGGCATTTCTTGCTCTTACCTAAAATTTGTGTATCCCTATATTATAATTAACAATCTTCATAGTCTTTTCTTTTTCTTTAAATTAGTTTTGCTTCAATCTCCATTCTTAAAGTGAAAAATCAATAATAAAAAATTCAGGTAATCTATTGATTTTCACTTGAATAATATATATTTTTTATTTTTTATATGTTAATACATCTAGGTTTTGATCAAATCTTTTTGTTTTAGTGTTGTCTTTAATTTGTAATAGGAAATGATAACTTATCATGCTAAAGAAGTTGTTTATTGAGGTTTGAAGGTTCAACAAAATATTTTTTAAAAGTCTAGAAATAAACTTAGATGTGTTAACATTGAATTGTTTTATTAGTATTGATTTGAATTTTTTTTTTGCACTTATATTTATATTTTTATAATTTGAAAATGTTATTGAATAAAGATTGGAAAGATTAATCAAGTCTACTAGCTATGAATTTTTTTCCTCATGATCTTAACATATACTTGATTTTTCTTTTTGTCATTTTGCATATATAGTGAGGTTGGTCATGTTTTAACAAAAATATTATAATATATATAACTAAAGAAAAGTGAGATTGCTTTAGTTTTTTTTCTCTATAATTAAAAACAGGTTAGAAATGAAAATGATTGCAGAAATAGTAGTAGCTGAGATGGGCTACCACGTCATATGGTGTGTAGACACTCAATTTGATCTAAGTCCGGATCAATTGGGCCTGGTCCAATGAGATTAGTTAAGCCTAAATATTTAGGCTTAATTATTTATTCATGTTGATATATTTATTCGTTTTTCTTCTAGATTTATTTTATTTTATTTTCTTCTTTTTTAAATTAATTTTTGGTTATTAGATGATGATAAAGATTAAGATAATTAAAAAATAAATAAATAAAAGATAAGTAAATTTAGCCATTGTTAGGGGGTGGTAGAATTGTACATGGATTGAATCTGTTTTGTGATGATCTTAAAAGGATTCACAATCAAACTAGAATTCCTCTAATTTTCCCTATAACTTGACACACTAAACAAAAAAGAGAAACACAGAAAGGGGAGGA